TAACATTGATCTCAGTCAATATCTCATAGAAGTACAAGACAGTGACATTAATATAATAGATAATAAGAAATGGAATGCATTGACTTATAGTGCTATGAGTGGTAACATGAAGCTAGTCCAATACCTCATTAATAATTATCAGTTGTCTCTCACATCAATTGCATTACTTCTAGCAGTATATAGTACTAAACTATCATTAATTAAATTATTTGTTAATGAATATAAACTAGATCCTCGAGTTAAAGATGTTAACAGTAAGCAAGCAGTTTATTGTACAGCTCAAGTTGGTACTATTGATGCCTTAGAGTATTTAGTAAAAGATTGTGGATGTGATTTGAATAGAGTAGATGGAGCAAGACACATGAATGTGTTTCATTATTCTACATCAAGTGGTCATTTTTCATTTATTAAATACATTATTAATAATTATCCACAATATACTAGTCTATTACATTCTACTGATGATAATGATGCTCTACCAATTCATGCTGCCTGTGGTAGTGGTGTAATACAACTAGTGACATTTCTAATTGATGTAATGAAATGTGATGCCACTACTCAAGATAAGGATGTTTATAATTGTATCTCTCATGCATGCACCTCTGGTAATCTTGATCTTTTAAAATTATTAATAAAACAATACAACCTTAATCCTAGAATATACAGCCTGAAGTCATCAACTGAAATTGCAGTGACATATAGACACGTTCATATACTAGAATGGCTCAGACAAGAGTATCATATCAATGTAGCCTCATTTAAGAAGGGTGTATTACCTTTTTATGCTGCACAATACAGCAACTTGTATTGTTTAAAGCATTTATTAAACAATTATTCATTTGATATCAATGCCACTTATCCCTTTGATGATACTCAATCTACACTCCTTCACATAGCATGTCAGGAAGGACATGTTGCTATAGTTCTCTACCTCACTAGTCTTCCTCAGTGTGACGTATCAGCTAAAACTTCAAATGGATCAACAGTTCTTCATTTATCATGTAAAAGTCGTTCTCTTCCTATACTCAAACATCTAGTGGAGGAGCATCAGTTTGATCTCACTATTAAAGATTACAATGGAATGGCTCCAGTTCATGTAGCCTGTGAAGAAGGATCATTGAGTATAGTCAAGTACATTATAGACCATTCACCATTATCTCTTGATATGACCGACTCTTTTGGACGTACTCCACTACTTATTGCAGCTTTCTCTAAGAACCTTCCCATCATTCGTTACCTCAACAGTAAAAAATGCAACATTTCTATACTGGACGATAAAGGGTTTAACATAATACACATATCGGCAAAGAGAGGGTCTTTGGATATATTGAGGTTTTTCGTTGATGGTCGTTACTGTAATCCTGATATCACTGATGCTTCTGGTCGTACTCCACTTTATCTGTCAGCTCAAGAGGGTCAATTGGAAATAGTA